TATTTTTTATTATTTTAAAATAAATTATAATTTAAAATATTATAATTTTTTTATTTTGATACATGCTATGTGTGTGATTATAGAGTTAAATTAAAATAAATTTTAAAGAAAGTTAATGTTTTAAATGATTTTATTATATATGATTATTTATAAAAATATATATTTTTAATTATTGAAGGCAAAAGTCTATTTTACCAATTATATGTTTGATTGTTGTTATATTTGTATATTCTAGAAATTCTGAGAAGCTTCTACATTTAGCTTCTTTATAATATGGAAAGATAAGTTATTTATGGAGGAAATAGAGAAAAAAGTAATATGCAATAAAGAAATAGAGAGGTAAACAAGTATACAAATGAAACTGTAAGAAAAATGATTGTATAAAAGTGTGATTTCGTGTATTACCCAAAAAATGTGTGCTTGTTTTTTCGACTTTTAAAGGGAAGAATGTGCACTCACCAAAATAAAACCTGGGAAACCATACAACAAGTTGATATTGGAGTCAGAAATATTAATATTTATATAGACAAACATAACTCACACACAAACACTCGTGATGAGTATAACACAGCATGTCATTTGTCTTATTTTTTCATAAACAAGATTGAAAGGATATCTAGTTGGGACTTCATCAATAAACCAATTGAGGATTTGAACATTTTAAACTATAAAATCAAGGATTGGTCATGTCCCAATGGAAGATTTAATTCAGATTTTTTTTAGTCTCATCCATCTAAGTTTTTCATTGCTCATATTCTAACCGACCATCGTTTTTTTTTAGTTAATTAGGAAAGGGAAAATGGGGATTTTTTTATGTAAATAAAAGAATTTTTTTAAAAATTATGCATGTCTCCTGGAAACATTTTTTTAACTAATGTGTCCTAGAAACAATTTATTAACTAACATAAATGTCATGAATTTGTTTCATTGAAGTTGATTGAAAATAACTTTCCGCAAGAAATTGATTATAATTGATTTGCACATTGAATAAGAAAATTGATTAAAATCAATTTTAGTATCATTTTAGTGATGAGTTTAATCAATTTTTTCAGTTATTTACTCTGCTGCCTGAGCAAGAACAGAGAAAGTGAGAGCGGACAAAAGTGGAAACGACAGACGATTAGAGTTAAAGAATATGAATAATGATTTATATCGATTTAATTTTGTTGATTATATTACAAATAAGTTGTCAATGTAGATAATTTAAATTTTAAAATATTTAGTTAAATTATATTTAATTATTTCTGTATTTAATTTAATATGTCATTAATTCTGTAATTGTATGTTTAGAAAAGTGTGTAAATGTTAATTATTATATTGTAAATTAAATTTAATTATTTGTTATGTATTTCTAATTAATATATTTTTAAATTTAATTAATTTTTTATTGTATATTTTTAATTATTATGATAATTTAGTTTCGTATTGTAGTAATTTACAAATTATAATAAATTAAAATTTAATTTTGTGACGTAGTTAATTTTAGTTTAATTTTGTTGTAATGTTTAAAGTTAACACCTCAACTGTAATACTTAACAGTAAATATCACTTCGTCCTTAATATGAAATACTTGGCCAAGTGCCAAATCATTCTCTCTCCTTATACTCAAACTTAGACTAGACCTACTCACATTACAATGCATTGCATCTAAATCAATCGTTGAATAGTGACTAAGATGTTGTCTAGATTGAGATTTGGAATGGGATCAAGACATCAAATGTTCACAAAAGTTCTACACATAAAAAAAAAATGTTCATATTGTTCATGATCAAGGTCTTTCTATTTATCATTTTCATCATCTTGTTGCTCCACAATAAAATCAAAATCTCCAACCAAATTACCTTGTGTCATTGCCTGTGCATTTTGGATAATGACTTTTTAATCTGTCTAACAAGGTGTTCAAAACTTGGAGAACCTACCTCATCATATGAATTGTGCACATCATGACAGGACACCTCAACTAATAGGGCTGGATTTGATGCATAAGGTGATGGATCCGAAGTTGAACCTCCATAGCTAAAATAATCACATTGTAATTTGACAAATAGCTCTATTATACGAGCTTTAGCAAATGAGTTAGTGCGAATCTAGGTGAGTTCCTAAGAGTTGGTTCCCTTAGAGAAATAACTCTATTATACGAGCTTTAGCAAATAACTCTCATTTTTTTGCTCTTTTCTCACATTCTTCCCTTAGAGAAAATCTTCTCAAGGTTGAACTCCTTCCCAATTCAAGTAAGAACATCCACTTAGTGCGGATCTAAGTGAGTTCCTAAGAGTTGGTTCCCTTATTCCATTCTTTCTTTCTAGATTTCTCTTATTAAGGGTCTCTATTTCGTAATAATAGGGAGATCTAGGGACCTTAAGCTTTATTCCTTGTTTTGAAAGCTTTGATCTAAGAAATCTTGTCACACGTAAGAGGAATTTACCTGAGCTGAATTTATTCATTCACTAGATATTGAGATGCTTAGATGTATACTTGGTTTTTAGCTGAGAATGAATTAATATAAGGACAAACCCTAATGTAGAACACCAATTATCTATGTAATTGATTGTGAAAGTTGGATTGTGGTGCTAGGAGATGTAGGCTGAGATATGTAATTAACACATATTGTGAATCCTGTGTGCTGAAATGAATAAATAAGTGCTGATATAATGCTATAATAAAGTTATTAATGTTGAGTTATTGGTATATATGTTTGTTCATTGCTAGACATTACTAAGCTGATAAATACATGATTGTGGATGAGTTGTATTATCATGCTGATATTCATCATTGTAGACCCTAGTTACATATCTAAGTAGGGTAGGCATGTGTGGAATAGATCAAATGCTGAGTTGTATTATGCTGTATATCTGGATTCAAGTACCGGAATGAGTTACTCTCAAACCGGAGAATTGTAGGTTCCTTCTGGATTACTAGAGCTGTGAAACCAGTTGGAACTAAGTTGTTGCAATTTGCATTAAATAAGTTGCATTGCTGTGTTAAATGCTGAAAAATACTGAAAGACTCAATTTGTAACTTTAATTATTTTGTCAAGTCTAGGTTTTGGTGATAGATCTAGACTTTTTAGCTACAGTTTTCAAGCAATGCAATTGTTATTTATAAATTTGTATTTTGAACTACAAGGAAACATCTACTGTATATATACATGCTTACATAAATTTTTTAGAGTTGTATGGAAATGCCGTTAGGACTTTGTTATAATCATTGAAAAATTGAAGTTTAATTCTAGGGAAGATATTTCCTTATTGCACTATATAGGTATATTATCTCGCAAATAAATTTATACCGAGAGTAGCGATGCATGATGTCATCAATCCTTTATGAAAAGGAGTTGTGAGATCTCTCCCTTTATTGTATTTACAATCTCACCATTATAATATATAAGAACATGAACGTAACTCTACGTCATATCACTACAATTTTCACACTTAATCTGAAAATTTTTCAAAAATAGTTGTGCAAAGTCGAGTTATATATGTTCATTTATAATAAAGGAGCAAATTTGTTTGTATTTTAATTAACATATATCTATTAAAATCGACTTCAATAAAAGAATATCATGTATGAAAGTCGGTTAAAGTCAACTTTTTTGTAAAAAGCATGAAAAATTTAAATAGAAATCGATTGCAATCGACTTCTATATAATTATAAATAAAAGCATGAAGGAGAGTCGATTTAAATCGACTTCTTTAAGTAGGCACAAATTTTAAAATAGTAAAAAGATAATTTAAATTGAATTTTATTTAAGCACCATGCAAAAAATTAAAGAATGTCTGTTAAAATTGACCTATGTTACAATAAAATCAAGACATATATGTAATCAAATTGATAAAAACGGCATTTAGGTAGTGTGAATTTTAAATTCTTTTATCTATGTCAAAACCCCGGAAAAAGGAGATGTGAAAATTTTCAAAAACCAAGGATTCGAAATCTGATCATCTTGTATATAACCTGCTGGCTCTATATTGCAAGGTTCAACCAACCATCTTTTCAAGTGTAAAAGGAAGGTTCTTATTATTTTTGGTTTGAGAAACAAAGGTTGAAGTTAAGCATATGTTTCAAATTTTAGGCGCGAATAAGAAATAAGATTATCCACCCATTTTTACTGTTAGAACCACCCTTTAAATATTTTTTGGAACATTTATTCAAAATATACCCTTAAATCTCAACTGCTTGCTTCCTTCCTAAAGGAGAACCACTTGACCCTGAGTCTTCTCCATGTGAAAAACAAAAGATCTAACCAATAATATTGGGTGAATAAATTGTACCCTTCGTACCAAAATATTAAGTAATCTTCATAGAATGAAAGATCGAGTTTATTAACAAAAGAAGAAAAAAAAACAAAAAACAAAACAAAACGAAGCCTTTCCCTTCAAATTCAATACTCAGATGTGCGCGCAAACCTGCACCATCGAGGACCACCTGAAGCACTTGTTCATGGTGTGGGAACCTCGTGGACTCACTTCTGTTGTCATTTGAATAGTAAAATGACAACAAAAATGAAGAATGGTGACTGAGTATGAAAGGAATAGATGTGACGTGCTGCGTTTATAGTGAATTTGAGAATGATGTGGTGTTTAGTGTCATAAAGAAAGATGAGATTCTAAAATTGCACCATTGGTAGTTAAAGAACATAGGCACGTGTAATTTTTGACAAAGTTGAATAAAGGTTGATAGTGGGAATAATAAGCATGAATCAAAACCAGAGGAATAAGAGGAAAAAATAACCATTTTGGGGGCATTTTTGAAAAAAAAAAAAAAAAGGAATAAAATTAAAAAGGTGTGAAAAGAAAACATGCCTAAACTGGGCGGACCCAAATCGGGCCAAGTAGCCCATTTTGCCACCATACAATTTTGCAATTAGCTTAGATTAGGAAAAATAAAAGAAAATTACTAAAAAAAAACCAATTTGGAATTAAAATAGAAAAAAGAGTGAAATGTAGTATTAAAACATGTCTTTCATGCAAAACATTCTATCAGGAACAACTCATTGTAATAAAAATAACAAGAAACACTGAACAGGTGAACACATACACATACGCTTCCAGATGCACCATCGTCAGTAATTAATCAACTTTAACCACACGATTGCTATTAACAAATCCTCATTAGTGAACTTTATCGGAGCAAGAATACAATTGAAAAAAGATCTTACCTAACATGATTATGTGAAGAAAAACCAAGTGGTCGAACACCCCAAATTTGATACAGAAATGATAGAAAGTCTTATTTTGTGTTAAAAAACTCAATTCTATCTGAAAGCCGTTTTAGATAAAAATTACTAACAACCAAAACATTAATTTAGCATATTCCCAGAGTTACCACACAGTAACAACAGAGAGTAGCGTTTAGTTGCCTATCCACCATTCCAGTCAACCAAAAAGCAGCATCACTTACATCTTTGGCAAAGTCAATGAAATCATTCACCTTTCCCATTTTGGTTGGAAGCAACATAATTGCGGATAACTTCCATGGCCAACTGATGAGCGCTCTTGTTTTGAAGCTTTGCCAATTCATCCATTGCTTCGTATGTCTCCTTGTCAGTAAATAGCTTTAGGTTGTGGCGTGCTGGTGCTACTACTGGACCCTCCCATTTCTCAACAAGTTCTTTAAGCTTCACAAATCCCTAAAAACGAAACTTTCCAATCACTTTAACAGTCACAATAATCACTGAAAGATTAAAACATAAATTAGTAAATATGGCTCGGATGCAAATAAAAAGTATGAACGCAAAACTCACCATTCGGTTTGTGAAGTCGCCAAATGATTCTTTAGATTGACGCTTTTGCTTCCAATAATAAAACAAAGGCTCCAAAACTTTTTCAAGGTCTAGAACCTTCACCTTGTCCATGAAACTTCGAGCTAACGATGTTTGTTTGGTGTTTCCTCCAAGCCAAATCTTCATCAGAAGGAAAAAAAAGTGAGCATGATAGTCTTTTGGAATTTTCTACTAACTGGAAGTGGGTGGAGTCACTGATTAGCAGACCTGATAGCTATTTGGGCCATCACCAACTAATCCAAGTTCAGCCATGTATGGTCTAGCACAACCATTAGGGCAGCCAGTTATCCTTACAACGACAGACTCGTTATATTTCAGACCAACCTGAATTACAGATAGATAATTATTAAGTCTGCTGATTAGGGATCTGATTTCAATGAAATCAAATACTGCCACATATATCTACAGCAATACCTTCTCAAAAACAGTTCGAATCCGCTTAAGAATGTTAGGTATCCCACGTTCTGCTTCAGTAATTGCTAGTGGACATAATGGAAAAGCAGGGCATGCCATTGCTGTTATGTTGAGGGGATCTACAAATCTAGGTTGCTGTTCACAGCAAAACAGATCACTATAGCATTAGTAGTGAAAAATTCCATATACTGAACCAAATAAAAGGCAAAAGATTAAATTAAAAAATCATAAGAGAAAATAAATAAGGAAAAAATTAGTAAATTATGATCTCTAAACTAACAATTAGGGAAATTTGAATCACCAATTCACCATACATGTCAAGCATCAATCAAAAGTGAATGGAAAAAGAAAAAATTAAGATCATTCTCTATCGCCACTCACAAAAATAGGTCCATCACAAAAGTAGCAGCTAATAAGATCTACACACACCTAAAAGTTACAGTTGTTACTTGTATCTATATCTGTACAGCCCTAAAAGTTAACTGAATTGTGTTTGTTAATAATGATGGGTTCGTATGAATAATTTGTTTGTTTCTAAATGCAAAACAATGAAACCCCTAAATTAGTAAATTATGACCACTAAATGAAACTCACAATGTAAGGTTATTAAGTAATGTCAGGCGTCAACTGAGCAGGGACAAGTCAATTAAATACTTTTAACAAATATAACTCAACACAGAAAAACAATTTTAGTATAATCTGTAAGCATCTCACCAGCAGACCAGCTTGAGCTAGAGTGGTTGTAATTGGACGCTTCCATGCAGCACGAATATCAGTCAAGATGATGTTCTGATTTGGAGTGATTCGTGCATTTAAATTATATTTCTCAATAACCTCCCGCAATGTCTTTTTCATCTTTCCACCAATACGACCATTATCAACATGAAGCCCATAAAATAACTTGCCATCACCCTAGAAGATGAAATCCAACAAATGAACCCATATCACATAAGTCCATTGAACTATATTTTAGCCAAAGACAATAACAACAAAGAATGATCCAGCCAACTACAGATTGCTTAACCACATAAAATACAAATCTAAAGTTAGACGAAGTAAAATCTACAAAGCACAAAAAATATCAGAATTTCCTATAACCTTCATTAACCTAATTTGCCAGATATTTTGTATTTTTTATTTTATACGTGAAAGTCCTTGTCAGGCAAGACGCAATGTATAAAGATCGATTGTGATCATATCAGCAATTAAATCAATAAATAGGCATTAAACATACGAATCCTATCCACCAACTCTCATCATGTGAAGTCTATATTACTATGAGAAATGTGCATAAAAAATAATATTATGGAGTATATAAGCAGGGATAAAGACATCAATATTATTCCTTCATCTAGAGAACCAACCTGTTCATGCCACCCAAGATAACTTTTAAATTCCCATTCTGGCAATTGACGAAAAGGTTCAAATTTCTTGCCATAATATTGCTCAACTACACTTCTAAACTTCTCGATTCCCCAAGAGCTGATCAAATATTTCATTCTACTATACTTGCGGTCATCTCTTCTCCCATTTTCTCGTTGTGTAACAACAATTGCTTTCACTGCATACAAAATATCCTCTTTTGGTACATAACCTAATGGTTCAGCCAAGCGAGGAAAAGTGGTTTCCAACCTATGAGTTCTTCCCATTCCACCACCAACCTGCAAGAATAATTAAAAGTCCAAGTCAGAACACTGATAGGAAAAAATTCACTTAACTGATATCTGAAAACATCTTACATATATGTTGAACCCTTGAGGCTCCCCATCATCATCAGTAACAACAACAACACCAATATCATTCGTGAGAATATCCACCGAGTTATCAGTTGGCACAGTAACTGCAATTTTGAATTTCCTTGGCAAGAACTGAGTTCCATAGATGGGCTCGGGTGAATCTGGGAAGTTTGTACCATGAGAATTATCATTCCGTGCATGAACTACTTCAGGTGGTTCTGACGACAAAAACCTTTCCCCATCTACCCAAATATCATAGTAAAACCCAGACTGAGGAGCCAGGAGGGCGGCAATGTTTTCTGCAGTTTGTTGAGCTAAGACGTAATCTTTTCTCAAAAGGGGAGCAGCAGGAGCAAGCACATTTCTGTTTAGGTCACCACATGCACCAAGGGTTGAGCCCATATTTCGAATAATGGTGCTCATCACTGTTTTAAGGTCCTTCTTGAGAATACCATGAAGCTGAAATGTTTGTCTGGTGGTCAAACGAAGGGTCCCAATTCCAAACTGGTCAGCAAGATCATCCATAGTCAAGTAAAGTTGGTTTGAAACTTTCCCACAAGGGTTCTTAGTACGTATCATAAAAGAGTAGCTTCTGGAACCACGCTCATCTCTATTGTACTGTTGATAGCTACCGTGAAACTTGATCAATTGAGTGGCAGCTTCGCCTATATTAGGGGCATCAGTCAACAAATCCTCATTAAGAGGGTATCTTATGAAATTACTTTGTTCTTTGAATATTTCTACTTTGCTGCGCTTCTCCGCGGCAGTTTCAGACTTTGCAGGCTACAAAGAAATTGCAAGCACAATAAACTATCAAAATTGGATTTACACATTCCATAGTATAGCTGCCACCGCACAGTTCAACTTTTAAAAAATAATAATAATTATAAAATTATCAACTCTCTCTAAAATATTACCGGAACTGAAAATGTTCATCACCGTCTTCGAACATATATCAATATTATTCAACAAAATAAATAACAATCCGAGATAAATGAGAAAGTAGACAAACAGAGTGCACAGTAAAGGAAAAACTGAAATTAAAGATGAAATTGAAGGGAGAAGTAGAGAAACCGTGGAAACAGCGCGTATGAGAGAGAGCGAGCGCGTGGATGAAGGAAGCGAAAGAGCATTGCGAGTGAGAGCGGAGGCGGAAGCAGACCTCAAGCCATGGAAGCTCGGGATCTGAACCTTGGGGTCCTTGAGCGCCGCGGTGGACGTAGATGCTCCAAACGACGTCGTCATGAGCTGAAGAAATAAGAATAAAGAAGGGGAAATTGGAAGATGATGAAGAAGTGGAAGACGGTTTCTGCGTTGAGTTGAGAGAGTGAAATGAAAAGCAACACTGCGATTGGGTGGTAGTTAGTAGTGACTCCAGATGGTGAAGCCAAATTTGGTTTGTTTCTCTTGTCACGTGCCTCCCACGAGAACGCTTTCAAAGATATATATATATATATATTCGCCGATATGCTAATATCCCACGCGCACGCTTCCAAATCATGAATATCACATAAATACTCAAAATCGTAAGTTAAAAAAGCTATCTTTTAATTAGTTTTTAATCATATCATTTTAATGAAATCATGAGCATTTTCTTACTTAAAATTAATATAAAAAATATAACTTAAGTATTTTTACACCTTAGATAATAAAATACAGTGATTTATTGTCTTTCTCTCATTGTTACATTTTAATTTTGTGTAAATAACAAAATTTATTAACTTTAATATTTAAAATTAAGTATATAGTAATAGTAAAATTTATTATATATTTCTAATGTTAATATAATCAATATATTTTAAAATTATTATCTTCAAATACTTAAAATTAATATCATTTATTTAAATATTTTTAACTTATGAATTATATAAATATTATTTTAGTCGCATTTATTTATCTAGTTATTATTATTTCTTCAATATCGTATTTAAGAGACTTATATCATGAATAAAATATTTTACAGTAAAAGACTTAAATATTAGGTTAAGCAAGTGATCTTTTCTAAATTTTAAATAATTATTATTATAATAATTATATGATATTTTAAGAGTCAATCAACATTCATTTCAAAGTTAATTCATATTAAATTAAGTTAACTAATTTAAATTAACTAAAAACTAAATTAGTCCCTATTATTATATTTTAAATTAACTATTAATATAATGAATATACTAGAATGACGTTGACTTAGTTTAATAATATTTTGACGAATTTAAAAAAATAATAAAAACTAATTTAATAGTTTACTCATTTTAAATTGGACTAGAAATCATTTGAATTTTATTAATTTAATAAATATATTTTATAAAATCATATTAATATTAATTCTTAAAAATATTTTCAATTAAAAACTTTTAAATATGTATTATAATTTAATATTTTTAATATAATAAACCCATTTTCTTAAGAAAATTATATTATCGTTAATACTTAACATTTTTATTCTTAATCAAACAATAATATAAATTTAACTCAGCGTTTGAAATAAAAAAATTTATTAAAAAATAAACATTTATTATATTTTTATAATTTTAATATAATAAATATATATTTTCAACAAAGTCTTTTAATTATTCGGATGGATTGAAGAAGTAATGGAGAACCCCAAAGAAAAAAAAAGCATCCGCTACAAAATGCGCGTTGAACATAAAATATCTGATAGATATGGAGAATAAAAAAGAGTTTGTGGTTTTGGGCGAGTAGGAATCGCCGTGTGAACCTAGACCGAATATTGGCTCAACCCATGATAGTAGCACTTCGTTAACTAGTTGGCCGCGGTAATCAATTACAACTTGTGCATCATACACATATTAGGGTTCACCAAACTACTATAATTAAGAGCATTAGTTTAAAATTAATAAACAATATATTAAAAATTATATTTATATCACTCAATTTTTTTTATGTTTTTAATAAAAATATTTTATATTTATGAAATAAAATGTTACGAATCTTAGTTATTATTTTTTAAGGCATGATAATATGCGAGCACAAAATAATTATTAAACCCTAATTGGATGCCTCGCCTCTAATCACTTACCTGAAGATTAATTGATGAAAGTGGGGACAAATATGAATATATATATATATATATATATATATATATATATATTTTGCACAAATGCTTTCGTATCCAAATCACAAAAGTGATGTATATTTAATTTTTATTAAATAATATCTTAAAGTTGAATTCAAATGTTATGTAAAAAATAAAAATATTAAAAGAACTAGTATTACCAATATATTAATTTTCTTTTATTTAAATCACATGTATTACAAAGACAATTATATTTGAGTCGAATATAATTATTATAGGTGATAAATTTTTTCATAAATATTTAACACATTTACAAACTCAAATTTAATACTACAATTTAAGTTAGAACAATTTTTATCAATTAATTTGTATGCTTGATAATTAAATATGATTACGTTATATGTATGTGATTTTAAACAAATTATTATAAAGTTTAATTTTGCGAGAATTTTTAAAGAAACCAACCAATGCATACGTGTGGCACACAATTATAATTCACAATAGATCTTTCCCTTTACTTTTTTTTTTTTTGTGTGTTTTGTTTTATTACTCTTTCTTACTTGAGTATAACTCACTTGAGATATAAGGAAGTTAGTTTTTCCTTTAGGGATAGTCACATTCTTTCATTAAGGCTTTGTTTGTAAGTTTAGAGGAGGAAGAAGGAGAGAAAGGGAAGAGAGGGGAAAGGAGGTTAATATATAAATAATTTTAAAATTAATATTGAGAAGGAAAGGTGATAGCGGTTTAATTATATAAATAATTTTAAAATTAAAATTTTTATTTTTCAATTTTTTTTTAAAAATTATCATTTGAAAAACTAACATTTAAAAAAAAAGGTTAAAAAAATCATATTTGTAAAATAGTATGAAAGAGTGGGAAAGACAAAAAACTCCCAAAATAGAGGAACTCAAAAAACAAGTTTTTAGAGAATTTTGAAAGGTTTAAAAAAACCTCCAAAACCTTCCCCTCCTAATTAAACCCCTTCTAATCCCTTTCCTCCCCTCTTAAACCTAACTCCCAAACAAAGTCTAAAGGAAGCTACAAATAAGATATTGAGCTTTATAAAGCTCAAGGTGAAAGTGAAATCCTAATGAAGGTTAAGAACTGTGGTACTTAAAGTAACAAATCTTCGAGGTAAATAAAATTTAAGATTAATCAATATTTTATATCATTTTCATATTCATAGATATTAAATTTAGAATAATTAAAACATTTGTAACATGTTATTTAAATTTTGATATTTACTTGTACTTAAAAAAAGATTATTTATTAAATTAAATTAATGTTATATAATATTTATTAATTTTGTCTTTAAATCAATTGTTTGACTAGTCAATTTAGTATTTTATAATAAAATATTAATCAGAGTACATGTGCTAACTTGACATTGGTGATAATAGTAATAGATCCTCCATGTATATATAGAAAAGGATCAAATTATATCAATGTAAGTTACATCTATTTTTATATCATTAGTAAAGTGATATAAAATATATCTTTAATTAATTAAACTATTAAATTATAATTATATATTATCTCAATTATTTATGTCAAATTTTATCAAAATTAAACAACTATAAGAGTGTAATTAAAGAGTCCTTTTTTCATATATTTTACAAGTATACATTACATTAATTTTATATGAGTAAAACATAAAATAATTTTCAATTGATCTAACATTTTATAAATATGATCTATTTGATTGAAACTTTCTATTAACAATTAATTTTAAAATTAAATTATTTAATAAAAAGTTATTAAATAATATAAAATTTGACGTAACTTTATTAATATAATAATATGAAAGGAATCATATTACATAAGTGTAAATTATTAATAACTTAATACAAAAAATAATTTTTATTAATTCAATCATTTAATTATAGTTATGTATAACCTAAACTATTTGCATTAATTTTTTTTTTTAAATTGAACATTTATAGGAATGTTATCAAATAGTCTATATTTTTATATATTTTAAAAATATGTATTATATTAATTTTGATATTGATTTTAAGATTAAATTATTCAACAAAATAGTTATTAAGTATTGTAAGAGTGATTATAACTTATATTAATATGTAATTTTATTCAACAAAATAATAAAACATGATAAGTAATAATAATCATGTTTAGTGATAAATACTATAATTAAAATTAGTAGTATAAAAATAATTTTTATTGAAATATTTTTTAAGGCTTAATTATATTTTTGGTCCTTATAAATATAGGTCTTTCTGTTATTAGTCTCTACAAATATTTTTGTTAGGAAGTAGTCATTCTAAAGTTGATAATTAGGATTTTGTTCTGCCGTTAACTTCTCCTCTGTTAAGTGCTGAACTGGCCAACGGAGAGTCAGTTCAACATTCCACGTGGCCTATTCAAGTCCCAGTCAGTTGCTTACGTGGCATGTCACATCATTTTTTTTTATTTAAAATTATATAATTACAAATAAGTCCTTAAACACAATTTTTTATAATTGCATAAAAGTCTTTTAATTTTGTTTCTTTCTTCTTGTCGGTCTTTCTCTTCTCCTCTCCCATAGCCCGGATCTTGCACCTCTCCTCCACCCCTACCCCTCCTTCATTCTCCCATGGCCACTCCCTCCCCTTCTCCCTCCTTATGCCGCTACTCTCTTCCCTTCTTCCTCCTTACACCATCACTCCTTTCCTTCACCCACACCCACACTCCTTCTTTTTCTTCTTCCCCACACTCTACCTTCCTCACCCCAACCCCAACCTCCACTCCCCCCTCCTCCTCTCTCACACCCCCTTTTCGACACTCCTTCTTCTTCTCATATTCCTACCTTTTCCAGCAATTATTTCTTATTCTCACCCCTTCTCCTACCTCCACCCAGCACTCCTACTACCTCCACCTAGCACTCCTACTACCTCTATCTAGTTCACCACCAAAGTGAGCGAGTACCCCAAGCTTCTCCTGCATGCCAAAGTAGATTCCAAAATCGATTACTGACCCGTGCATAACCTCTTGTTCTCCAAATGCAATCAAGATGATTAATTGTAGGTTCCAATTCTCTTTTCTCTTTTCTTTGACTTTGATTTTTGAGATAAGGTAAGGGGTTGTAGGGTCAGAATTGTAACATAAATTTATATTTTTATGTAGTTTGATTCAAATTTGTGCAAACTAATCACAAAAATGCCTATATTTATAGGGATCAAAAATATAATTAAGCCTTAAAATTATTATAAAGTTTTTGTGAAATGTTTTTCCTTTTCATATAACTCTCCCGTTAGTTTTCCATTTTATCAATTATTTTTTAATTTAATATCTATTTTTTTAGAGACACAAAACACTTACAAAAATACTAGACGAAAGTTACCAAATACCGCATGAGAAAGGAAATT